TGTATATTTTTCCTTCTTTTTTCCCATTTAAGTCATCCTATGGTTTTCCTTTTTTTCATTCTAGGAACTGATTTTTTTTCTTTCTTTCTTTCTTTTCCTTTTTTTTCATTAGTAAGAATTAAGGTCCACTAGGTTTTAAGGATGTGAAATATGAGAGACTGCACATGAAAATTTGTGACGATAATAATTATCTGATTTTTAATGAGAGAAGAAATATATTCAGACGTCCATCCTTTCCGCTGATAGAAAGTTGCTAATACCCTACACTTTTATGGTTACAGTGAGTGAATATATGTTCTATTACATCTAAACATCAGGCATCATTATTGTAATAATGTGAGTAATGCATTCAGATGTACAATTAGTCCATTTGGAAATGCACAAGCTTCTCAACGAATTCACCAGTTAGGTGGAGTCAGAGAGAAGTAAAATACACGTGTAAGTTACAAGGTTGATGCATAGTAATGTATTTTCAATTGGTAATTATTGCACAAGTGGCCAAATAGCATTAGATTCTGGTTATATTATATTGTAAAGTGAAGGTTGCAGTTAATGTAACTCTTGAGCATATACTTCCTGAAGGAAACCTAGATTTGATTCATTTTTCTCTGTATTATGTGTACTGTCTTTTTTTTTTCCAGAGATGTAATTCTTAAAAATTATGACTCGCCTAAATTTCAGTATTCAACTATGCTTCTGTAAGTTTTTTAAGTCATAGTGACAAATTATAGTTGGCAGATCACATGAAACATACCCAGCAGAGGGTATCTTGTAGCTTTCCAACCAAAGTTCAGTGGCTAACTAGTGGTCCTTTCCATTGCAAAATTGCATAGTTCATCCTCCATACCAAACTTTCATTCTTGTTGCGGTTAAAAAACAACCCAGCATCTGACGACTGTTTTTGTTCCTTCCACAGGGGAGCCCAGAGGATCTAATCAGCCTGGACAATGATTCCTTCCTCAACAGCCTTGAATCCATGACCATCCAGAATCTGTGGACTGACAACATCCGACACACGAAGTTGTAGCTGTATCTCAAGGGACACGCTCATTCATCTCATCATGACGATGCCTTTGCCTGGCGTTGTCTCCTTATGTCTTTACTCTGAGTTGAGTTTAAGTTCTTGTTCTCATTACTGAAACACCTTCAGATATGTTCTCTCAGTGATAAGAACACTTTTATAAAGACCTGATGTAGATGTTCTTTTTAGAAAAGACAGTCTCTTCCAAAGTGATCTAATCATTTGAGAATGTTGCTTACTAAATGCGGGAATGTGAATTATTGAGAAATTCCTTTTAAAATCATGAAGAATGAAGCTACATAGATGAAATAGAAAGGATCCTATATGAGAGACCTTGCTGACAGGCCATTCTGAGGAAATTATGATGTCGCATGCATATTTTCATAATTTGATTCACTTACAGAAAATATGATGATAATATTGAAAGTGCATAATTATAGTTTATCCTCAACATTTCACATTTATCATTATGATTATTAATACAAGAGTTTTTCATTTTTAAGATGTCGTCAGTGTTTATTACAATTGATGTCAATGAATATAAATGTGTTACTTTCTGAACCACCACTTTTTCAGTGTTTTATTCATAGAATAAACTATGTGTAGTCACCATGTTCTGAGCACAGAAAATTAACCTAGAAGTGCAAAACTTCAAAGAGCATTGTAAGATTTTTCTTTTTTTTTCTTTTTTTTTTAGACATACTTGATTGGTGAAGATAAATGCCCTGTATGTCAAGCTATGCCAGTCCGATTGCTTTGGTTATTAGCATGTAATTGTGAAAGGTGACTAGAGGCTGCGGTAGATACATAAGTAAATGTGTAGAGTACAGTATACGTCAGGAATATTGATTCTTCACTACTGGGAATCTAAAATTTGACACTGTATAGTACAGGAAAAGATGGTGCCCATTGTTATAGGACAATTTTTATTCAATAATTTAAACAGCAGAGAAAAGTATGATATGATTTCTGCCAGATAGTTAGGTATTTTATTAGATGCAATTAACTGTGCTGTTTTATTTTTTTATTATTATTGTTTTGTCCACGTTAGATAAACTAAAGTTGTTTGCCGTAGGTAGTTTCCAGTGTTTGAATACGTTTTACATATCCAAAGATTATCACCGATAGATGCTGAGGAATATTACTCAAATACCAGTTTTTATGCTATAAGCTTTGTTGTTCTAGCCATTGTTGTGTGTATTAGAAAGATTTACTACAAATATTTTAGGACGTTTGCAGGCTTTGAGTCCAAATGCAGAGTCCCAGAGCAATTTTGATTCTCTCTATGGGAGGTCAGTTAGGCTTTCATCTTCATGATAACAGACACTTTTTTGATAGTGCTGTCTATAAATTTTATATTACACCATCCAGAACCTATGATTGTGTCCTACAATGCTACACCTCCATAATCTTGTAGTACAGTGCTAGGAATGAAAAAAATGTGTGTGAATGAATGTATGTATGTATGTATATATGTGTGTATGTATATGTATGGACGGAATACACAGTGACAAATGTTTTGAATAGTTATCAATATGGAATAGTTTCATAGAGTAAGATATATAACTGAATTTCAGTATTCACTGTCTTCGTGAATATTGAGATGTAACAATTTGCAGTCTAAAATTGTTCATTCTTAATTCATAACGCTTTCAACCCTGTTTGTCTGTGTGTACGGCGTTTTTGTTCGTGTTTGTGCGTGTATGCATATTTGTGTGGAAATGTGAGTATTTGCCGGTTTGTTCCAGGCATAATGTTTACCTTAGATAGTAAGGTATATTAGTAATCTAGTACCAGTTAAGGGTTGAAATATAGAAAGCCGCATCGTAAGTCATATCTCTCCTCTTGGTAATGGCTGAGGTGGGGCATCCAACATCCGTGGCCAAGTGTTCAGTATTTTATGTATATATAAAGATTATATGAAGATGACGTTACCTTAACCCTAATAGATCAGTGAAGTGTGCGTGCATGCATGTATGTGTGCTGGGATGTTTTATTGCATCTAGTAAATTGTAATTTCTTTTTATTTCTTTTAAATTATTTCAGAGTGATTGGTTTTGCAAACATCTCTTATTGCATCTCAAAAGTAATATTTAGATATAAAAAAAACAAAAATACTTTCATATGGAAGTGATTTAATCATATTATTCCCAAACAATTTGGAAGCTATAAGTTGTGATCCTATTGTCCAATTTAGGTAGAAAAAAGGTTCTCTTAAACTGAATTTGGTATGAAATCATTAATATTCTTTCTGTTATGTATGTCTAAATAGCTGCAAGAGATGTGATTTCTCTCATTCTTATTTTGTAAATAGCTTTTAACGAAGACTTTATTTCTGAAAAGAAATATTTAGGATTTTTTTTTATATATATCTGAAAATCATTAGTATTAACAAGGGCAGAAAAATCTGTAATTGTGGTTTAAGCAGGTCTCCCTCACATGAATCTGAACACTGACTTTCATTAATATGTTTCTACTTAATCTTTTTAATTTTTTTTTTTTCTCTGTATTTGAGATCAAAAGAGAAACTGGTTTTTATTTTGTAAATAGCAATTAGATGAATTTCATATGAAGTTAATATCTCTCCCAGTCACAATGAATAGATGAAAAAAAGGGAAAAATTAATATATAATTATATATACATGTGAGATTTAAGATATAATGAATTGCAGTGAAAATGAGGTTAAGGGACAAAGGCAGATTTCTCCACAGTATCGAGTCTTCAAATTAGTTGATCCAGAAAGCTGTTTGTTAACCCTTTTGGCTGTACCTCGCGTTGTTCTTCAGGCTAAAACTCATGGTACTAAATAAATAGAGAGAGAAAAAAAAAATCCTTCTATATGCATAACATTAAAAAAAAAAAAAGAGTTACTTAGATCTTTCGTAGAGTTCACACACTGTACAGTTTTAAATGAAGTTCAGTCCCTCATCTTAGCCTAGAACCCATTAGCTGTACATACTGCAATCATAAGTGGATGCAAAGGATATTACATGTTGAGAAATGTACCTCAAGTAAAATGGCCAGTTGCCAAAGAGAATTTCTCCTGCATTGTAACTCTAAATGAATGTCAGTGCTCTTTCCTGTGAAATGATATTTTTGTGATATTTGTTGATCATTTACCAACAAGAGATATAATACTGTAACTCCAATTAAAAAAAAATTCCTTAGAAGAATGAAACAAATGAAAATGCACAGCAGTTCAACAGCTACTGTAATGATTTGTGTTAATCCACTTCGGTGAACTGTAATCTCGAACCTTGTATGTCGTCTATCTCCATCTTCTTAATAGATTCCATGATATTATAACCAATTCCAGAACTCTGTTACCATATTTCTTGACATAATTTATTTGTAACCTATATATGCAAATATATTATTTACTTCTACAAGGGGAGGATTTCTTGTATATTACAAAAGTCACATACTTTGTATTAGTCTTTTTTTATTATTCTCAAGTTTCTGATTTCTGCAGATTTGACAGTGATAAAAACAACTCCTGCAAATCCTCTTGGCATTCTCTTGAGGAGAGTGTTGCAATAAATATTTTGAAGCCAATTTCTTCCAGTTTTCTCTTCATATAACTATAATTTTCATTATTTATGGCATAACTCTAATGTCCTGATAATCTGACAGGCTTTGGCATCAATGATCTCCTAAAGCATACAGATCTTGTTAATTACAGCTGACCCACACTTGGGTTCAGCTACCTACGAGCATATACTGGCAGTATTTACATTTTTTAGGATATTTTGAACCCTGTTACATTCTTGAGAGCCGCTGTAATACGTAGTTAAGCGGTCTCTCTTAGCTTATATCCTTAATGATAAGCTAAACTAAATCTTCCCCTAAATATTTGCTTCACTTCGGTGAGTACAAAACCCTGGGCTTCGACATGTGATATTAACCCGTTCCGAAACCACCACAAACAACAGGGATCCTTGCTGCTAATGTGTTGGGTCATGCAAAGTTAGAATAAATGCTTGATTATTTATTTTCAAAAAGATGGTAAAGATATGAAAATTAATTAGAAAAAAGTATATACAAGTATATATGGCTATTCGTGTATTATACAAGTTCTTTTGAGTTTACAAAATTGAACTTTATGAAATGACCCAATGCAAGAGGCAAGCTTGGAGCTACCAATGTATATCTGGTGGAAGTATTCAATACTATTTCTATATCCTGTTTTCGATGTTTACATGATGTCAGTTTTCAAACCAAAGATGTATAGTTTTAGGAATGAAGTTGAAAGAAATAAAATATTATGGCCTCATGGGCATTATGCAATATGTTGTGTTTATTTTAACCTCATATTTTTGTCTTGCATTCATACAAATTCAGTTATTTTGTGTATGTAAATTTTTACATGATTGTGACAAATTTGATGTGACAGATTTGGTAAATCATTTATTGTTCCTTCCACAAAAACATTCTAAAGTTTCATGTTAAATTCTCTAAAACAGGGGCATCAAACTCATGGCCTTTGTTAATCTTGCAGAGATGATAGATGAAATAAAAATTGGTTCACAACATGCTTACTCTAAAATGAGAATAACTATAAAATCCTCAGATTCTGTAGTAGACAAAAAAAAAAAGATTACAAAGGTAAAGAAAAAAGAAAAAAAATTTCACAAAGCAATGTGTAACTGCTTTTATCATTGAACTAGATCTGTGCACTAAAGTTGTGGTTTTAATTAAAAGCATTGGAAACGTCCATGTAAAAGTAACAAAAAAATATTTTACGAGTGCTTAAAAGTAAAACCTTGCAACTATTCTGTTTTCTCAATAATATAGTTTTGCTTTATCACACATCCTAGGCAGAATTCCCTAGGTAATTAAAATCATTATATATACTATATGATATATAATAATATATGATATATATAATAATACAAAATGTTATATACATCACAATAAAGATATGAAAATAAGCACTAATTACATGACCTATGCATCATATTCAGAAATCTTAAGGAGAAAACAAATATAGTATAATTTTGGGTGAAAAATATTTATGAGCAAGGTCATATATTCAATGTACTTTTCTAAAGGTCCTAATAAAAAATAAAGTCTACTTGTTAACACCCTTTTATTATGCAAAATACATTTCCCCCATAAATATCTGCGTCAGTTAAGGAAATGCAAAAAAATCTCATAATTAGGCCTAAAAACAAAAATAAATGTCAATATCAAATATACATTCTCATGAGCAAAATTGTTTTTTTCAAAAATCATGTTTTTTTGGGGTTAATAGATTAATTCAAAGTTACATGTTAATATAACTTACAGATTTATTAAGTACAATATCCTACCCTACTACTGGTAAGTAATATCCCAAGAATGTTACAAGGCAATAGCATTTATTTAAATATTCAGCAAAAATACACTAATCTACATAATAAGCACACACAGATACTAGTGTGTGAAGTGGCAGTGAGTTTATTACCCAATAATATGTTTGGGCAAAGACTAGTTACCGATACTGGCTAATACTATCATACATATTATTACAGAAATTGGTTACTGTGAGAACCTGATCTGGTTAACTAAGAGTAATGATGTATTCTAATCTCAATATGGAGTTATCAGCACAATTAGAATTATTAATTTCAATTTCAAAATACCTAGATATATTACATTTCATCTATTCTAAAATGTTTGATGCATATATATATAATATATAACACTTTATTATCATGAAGGTATTTTGATGATTACCCTTTCATGTTATTATATTCATTATCAGAATAAAATAAAAGAAAACAATATTGATAAGATGAATGTACAATTCAACAAACAAAAACAACAACAACAATCACTCTAGCCTTCACGTTACGGTCGAGTAAGTGAGCAATTTCCAAGCCACACACTTGTTTTAGTGTAAATGAACTCGCAGATGGCAGCATTGTTGTCAAATGACATCTCTCCTACTTTGAAATCGGGGTTTATTGCCAGCTGAAAACCATTTCAAAATCTTGTTGTTAACATAGTTAGAAATATAATAATGCTAAAAATACTGTAATACTTCCTGGAGACATCACTGGAACAAATATCTTTGATAATTGTTCAATTAATTTTTTTAAAACAATATATAACATGATTTCATCAATAAGGAGAAAAAAGTTATGACAAAAATCACAAAACTTACATATTATATAAAGATGTCGTCATGCATTTGCATTAATAACACAAGTTTAGAAGAAGAACTGAACATAGATGTAATATTTAACCCTATCTAATTATATGTATAATGCATAATGGAAAATATAATTGAGAATCTACATCATCAGTAACATAAACATCAACATATTTTCTTTATTCTTTTTTAGTTCCTGAGATTCTGCTGCTTTTCAGATATATAGTACATGATATGATTAAGATCAATACAGCATCCATAGATGTAGATAATAAATATTCATGTATATGTAAGGATAGTCTAAAAATGATCTAAATGGCAGAGATATGTGTTATTCACCTTACAAAGACTAAGAAACGACAGATGTAGAAGATAAGACAATTGATATTCAATGTGAATACCCAGAGGAAACCATCAAGCTGAAGAAGTAACATAAATAGCCATAACTTTTTAGATTTAGAAGCACTTTCTTTCTGCTATACACAAACACACTGATTGTAGTAAAGGCACAGAATCCAGTGGGTTAGCTGTACAGTTCACATGGTTTCTCCAATGTGGAAAAGAAAACACTGCAAAAAGATTCAACAACCGAGCCATGACCTCCATCACAAATGCCAAAAAAGCATTAGTAACAGATATTGCCTCATGCATAGTGAATCTCAGGGACCAGAAGATGCTGTAGTTATTTGGGGAAAAAGAGGTCTCTGATCTGAGGTGCTGCCTTTGACATAGAATCATGGCCGGGCGAGAGAACAATTGCCGAGCCATGCAGTAGTCTCCGAATATATGAGTTCACACACAGCCGCGTTGTTATCGAAGGACATCTCTCCCACCTTGAACTCTGGGTTTACTGCTAACTGTAAGGATAGGTGTTGGCAAAACATGTGGGACTGAGTTTTTGGAAAATCATATCTATGTTTATTTGAAGGAAAATTTCATGGAAATCTTTTTTCTTTAATATCTGGAAAACTGGTGATAATATATACCTAATGTAGATTTTAGATTTAGATTTTGTTATCAAAATGGATTACTCATAACATTTCTTATGTAAATTTTCACTATACCCTGAGCTTAAAATAGAAGCATAAAAAGCAATTTTTATAAAAATCATGCACATGAAAATGAACTTTTCTTCAATAATAATTTTGTGTATTCATTCCTGTATTGTCTTTGCTTAAATATATACAGTACATATGATTTAACCTTGTGAATAAAAAGTAAAAATACCATGCACTCAATACCTGAAAGCAAAGGATTCCATGAACTAGATACTTATGGGACTTAATATCATAATCTTTTTACATCTGACAGTTCACAAGTTCAAAGAAGAAATAAAATTTACCTACACACTGGTTATATCAGTAAGGACCAAAATCAATATATCAAATTAAGATTGCTCCTTCTGTTGCTAAGCCTCGTGTAAATCAGTATGAAAATATTAATATGACTGAGAGACCACTTCTTGTGCAAGTCACAGTATGGTGTAAGATTTCAACATTATCAAGACAAAAAAAGATTTATAAGCACACTATATTATGCCTCCTATACAGTATCACAGATGCTTATTGTTGGAAAGTTATTGTACTGGTAATCTTATTGTAGGTATTTGAAACTTTTAAAATGATTATCAGCCAAACAGTCTGTGACTATAATATTAGTATGTCCCATTAATACCTATTTCAACAGATAGGGAATTTGCATTAAAAAGAAAAAAAAATATCTGAAAAAAAGAGATCACTAGTAACTTACCTTAAAAGTATAAGTGCCTGGCTTGATGTCAGTGATGTCAATCCACTGGCAGTCGATGTTGTAGGCATAGGTGTCTGTGCAGCCAGGACTAATGCCCTGGTCACCAAAGTTGGCACACTTGAAGACCGGTTCTACCCCAGGAACACAGTTGTTATCTTCCAGACAGAAAGAGGCTTTGTGCCCCTCAGCCACCCTGTTTCCATCTGCGTCTATGACGTCGTAGTGAGCAAACACTTCCATGCTATGATAGTGCCTGAAGTATGAGGAGGCTATAAGAATACCTTATATCTAACCTTGTTTTATTTTGAGTAATCTAACTGGCAAGGAGACCAATATGGGTATGTGATATTCATGGTTTTAAAATGGGATGGTGTTCTGATACATGTGCTGCTCTATGTAGATAAAAGAGTTGTTGAAATATTAAGGTTTATGTGATTAAAAAAAAAAAAAAAAAAAAAAAAAAAAAAAAAAAAAAAAAAAAAAAAAAAAAAAAAAATATATATATATATATATATATATATATATATATATATATATATATATATATATATATATATAGATATAGATATATAGATATAGATAGATAGATAGATATATAGCAGTCAGTAAAGCCACAAGTCCAAGATTTGTAGCACAGCAGTTTCTTCCCAGTGAAAGAACATCTACTAAACACTCACATGTGACAGGCATGCCATTCCCAATACTGCTTTGGAAGGATGGGACGGAAAGCTTCAGTTCCCTGGTTGACTATACGTGCAGTGAAACGAAGGAGACGTCTCGTGTCCAGATGCCAGCCATAGCCAGTTTCCTGTTGAGCAAATATTGTAAATAATCTGTTCAAATCATCAAATGACTCAAGATTCTTCATCAAAGTAAATCTGTCATAGAACTGATATTCCTCTGAGGGTCTCATCTAATTTCCACTTTTGAAATTTTATCTTTTACTAATAATAACATCGTATAGTAACATACTCTGCATTCAACACTTATCATGACCAGTGTGTTAGTGAAGATGCACTTCTCAAAAAGAAGAAAAAAAAAATCATATAAAGGAAGAGCAAGAGCAGTAATGTTACCTGAACTTTGACTGCAG